GCTTTATTCAAACAAGAGACAAGCGAAGGAAGCTTCAAACGATGACATTAGATCGGAAATATCAAACCCAGTCGCTTCTCCGGTGGATAATACTTCCAGTTTTCGCGATATCACTAGCCATCCTGCTAAATCGAGCTCAGATGATGATCGAGTTGGGTCTTGTTCTGGCAGTGATTCTGGTTCCGGTGAGACTATAAGCGATGAGAAATATGGCGGTGCATCGCTAGCACATAGCTCTCCGGCGAAGCAATCCACTGATGTGGTAACTTCTAGCTTCGTATTGGAAATTCCAAAGCATCTTAGCTCAACAGGGATAACGAAAATCACGTTTAAGCTGCGTCAACCAAAGGAGGAGGATTTCTGTGATTTGCCCATGATCAAGGAGGAAACATGGGAGGGTATTCCTTCGAATGTAGCTTCTTCAACATTAGATGTGAGAACGTTGAAGAAGATTGTCTCTAGCAACTTCGCATCTAATGTGAAGAAGCTATTGTTGACGGGTATTCTCGATGGTGCTCCGGTGAAGTATATTTCAACCTCACCTATGGTAAGTTTGTACCTTTGTGTTTTCTCTTGATATGGTTTTCGAGATCCTCCTTTTGTTATGATAATGTGTTGGTGATATCTGTTCTTATATTGTACTTTTAATGGTCTTTAGAGAGAACTTCACGGGATGATCCACTCGAGTGGGTTTTTGTGTGGCTGTACTGCGTGCGATTTCACAAAAGTAAGTCTGCTCTTCGCGATTCTTTATAGGTTTTCTGTGTGGCTATACTGCGTGCAACTTCCCGGTCTTTAACTATGTCATACTTTGTTTCGTGGGAAGGTTCTAGGTGCCTATGAGTTTGAGCAGCATGCTGGTGGAAAGACGAAGCACCCTAATAATCACATATTTTTGGAGAATGGAAGGTCGGTTTATAACATAATTCAAGAGCTGAAGAATGCTCCTTTTGATGCTCTCGAGGAGGTGATAAGGAAGGTGGCTGGCTCTGCTCTGAGCGAGGAGGGATTTGTGGCTTGGAAAGGTACCTAACTTGCTTAGTGGATTTTCTCTGCATTGTTTTCTCGAAAAGCTTCCAGCAACTGCTTTCTATGGATTTCCCTGTCTATTATTTTACTTTCTGAAGAGTTGTGTTGTAGACTTGTAGCTGACTTGCTATTCTGTTCTTCAGAAAGTTTCCAGCAGGATAATGAAATGGCTGAAGATGATAGGAACTATACCATGGATCATTCGTTTCAATCCATTGTCAGGTATTTTGACCTCCTACTTGTGTTATACTTGATCTGAAATTTCCACAGATTTGTATTTGGAGATGTTATTCGGTGACTTGGATCCATTTTTTTACCTAGCTGTTCATTTTTATAAGAAGGTTAACATGGATTACATTATTGTTATGGAAATTGCAGTTATCCTGGTTCTGGTCGATCTCTTGATGAGAGTCAAATCTCTACTCCATGTTTTCTGGAGAACAATTATTGTAGAGAGAAAATCTGTACAAAGGACACATGGGAGGAACAGAAGCCAATAGCAAAGAAGTACGTTCCTCAAGTTTTCTTGCTTAGATATTGATTACTTTAGTATTACCTATGGACAATGTGTTTAGGGAACATAGGAAATTTACTTGGTCGCTAATACTGTAGGCCTACCTCTCATATGTTTGGAACGGGTTGCCATAAAAAAGTTTCTGAAGGCGGCAGTAGGAAGAGGTTTGTATTGCTTTTTTGAACCTCATTAGTTGGGTGTCCTTGTTCACATTTACTCTCTAAATGCAATCCCGCAGTGATGACAACATATTGCAATCATATGTTTATAGGGACAATGATTTACACCGGTTGCTGTTTTTGCCAAATGGGATACCGGATGGGACTGAATTGGCTTACTATGTGAAATCACAGGTATGTTATCGTAGGTTTATTTCTTAGTGCAACTTTAAGTTTGTTTGGTTTTGCTGACACATGCTTTTCACTTACTTTTCGAGCAGAAACTACTGGAGGGTTACAAGCAAGGACTCGGTATAGTGTGTAGCTGCTGCGACAAAGAGGTAAAATACTGGATGCTGTGACTATGTATATTGGCCCTTATGACTCATTTCCTGTTCCAATTATAATGATACTTATTTATTGGGTTTCTTAACAACAGATTAGTCCTTCACAATTCGAAGCGCATGCTGGAATGGGTATTAGGCGACAACCGTGAGTTATCTAGTAACGATGTGTTTTTGCAGTAATGTTGTAAGACGTATCTGAAGTTTCTGATTCTTTTGCAGTTATCGGCATATCTTCATATCTTCTGGATTGTCATTGCATGATATTGCCATGTCATTAGCAGATGGCCATGTCATTACATCTGGTGACAGTGATGACATGTGTACTATTTGTGGAAATGGTGGGGATTTGCTACTCTGTGCTGGATGTCCTCAAGCATTTCATACAGGTGGGTTTGTGTTAATGCTAGAGGATGCTAGGTTTGTTTGTTCATTTTACTATAGCAAATCTACAACTTCTATGTTTCAATTTGAAACCTTTTAAACTCAGATCTTGAGAAATTTTTCTCAAGCATTATTAGAAAATAATTACTGATCTATTTCCATTTGCATTCTAGTTCTAAATTAAAGTTCTTAAGAGAGGATTTTCAAATCAGAATTGCTTTAATATCTAGAGCTATTCTCCAGTTCTAATACTTCGTGGCCCTTTTGATATGCAGCATGCTTGAAATTTCAATCTAAGCCTGAAGGTACTTGGTACTGTTCAAGCTGCAATGAGGGACCTCTCTGTAGTAAAATGGCCACTGCTACTGATCCTAATTCGAAACCCATAGTTATAAGACGGACAAGAGTTGTTAAAGCACCAGAAAGCGAAATTGGTGGTTGCGTATTCTGCAGGTTGGTTGTATACCTACATTATTTTGAGTGTCATTTATTCACCCTCCAGTTTACTTACTTTATTTTCATTCTTGTCCCGTCTCTGATAGGTCCCATGATTTTAGCGTTGGAAAATTTGATGATAGGACAGTTATTCTCTGTGACCAGGTACTCTTTTGTTTCTGGTCTCCTTTTATTCCAAATTCTACCCTTAACCACTTCTATATAGTCTAATGTTATTTTCCTCTTTTCTCTTGAAGTGTGAAAAAGAGTACCACGTCGGTTGTCTGAGGGAGAATGAGCTTTGCGATTTGAAAGTAAGTTTTGTAAGGTTGGCTCAACTTGGTCTGGGTTTATAAGGTCATTGAACCTGTCTCAACATCTTTCCTTAATGTTATAGGGAATCCCCCAGGATAAATGGTTCTGCTGTAGCGACTGCAGCAGGATTCACACGGCTCTTCAAAGTTCTGTTTCCTGTGGGCCACAAAGTATTCCCACGGCTTTGTTAGACACCATAAGCAGAAAGTACAGAGAAAAAGGACTATATATTGACAATGGAGATATTGTGCAATGGAGGATGCTTAGTGGAAAAAACCGATGCCCAGAGAATCAACCCTTGCTTTCACGGGCTGCTACTATTTTCAGGGTATGCCTCGATTTATTAATGTGCTCCAATAATTTTTTAGTTCAGAGACATGCTTTCAGGCTACATCTCGAATTACTAGTTGCCTTGTTAATTTTACTTGATGATATACATGTTTGCGCTTATACTTCTCAGGAGTGTTTTGATCCCATTGTGGCAAAGTCTGGTCGTGATCTCATTCCTGTCATGGTCTATGGGTAAGCCGTAGTGTGATAAAACTCATATTCAATTTCCCTGTTCATTCATATTTTGATAGTAACTGATCATCCCGGTAATTTTTCCTACATATTTTACAGGAGAAATATTTCAGGCCAGGAGTTTGGAGGCATGTACTGCTTGGTCCTGATGGTGAAGTATGTTTGGTGTTCTTGATGCATTTTTTCCTTCTCTTTTACCACTTTTGAATCTTCTCGATTTGGTTCCTAACTGTTTCTTTAAATTTATGATGCATGTTTAGTTCCCTTATTGTTTCCGCTGCGCTGCTTAGGATATTTGGTCAGAAAGTTGCTGAACTTCCTATTGTAGCTACATGCCGAGAGTATCAGGGCAGGGTAAGATTTTATACATCCCAAGTTATGTTACTGTCTTGGATTTCACTTTGTTTTATCCATTTCTTTTTAACTCGTAACAAAACCCAATTTGGCTATGGTTTCTATAGGGCTATTTCCAAGGGCTGTTTGGTTGCGTTGAGAATCTTCTTTCTTCTCTGAATGTTGAGAACTTGCTTCTCCCAGCAGCTGAAGAAGCGGAGTCTATCTGGACAAAGAAATTTGGCTTTACAAAGATGACTGAACAGCAAGTACGTAAAAGTTTGGTCTAGAACAAATTTTTAATACCTACAAATACTTTTTTCCTAGCACAATCTTTAATATGGTTTTTAGCAATTTGGTTACAAAGATGGTAAAAGGGGGTTAACTATGGTGTTTGTGTTTTGCAGTTACAGAAGTACCAGAGAGAAGTGCAACTTACAATCTTCAAGGGAACGTCGATGCTGGAGAAGAAAGTGCCAAGTTTTTCGGAATCAACTTCACTCATCTGATAATCATCTTTCGTTGAAGATTTTTTTTTTTAAAGCTTCCACTCCTGATTTTGGTATTTGGGATCTTTTTTTCTTTCTCACTCTCATTTAGAACCTACTTTTTGTTTTCTTTTTGCAGAAGGGTCATTTCTTGTGTACCTCTGTTATTTTTTGTACAAGCTCTTAACAAAGAACATTAGAATGTAGGGTTGACCCAGAATAGAGGTTTCAGACCTAGTGAGAGGTTTTTTTTTGTAAAGGAAAGAATTGAAAAAAATAAGCAAATATAAACAAAAAAAAGTTTTTTTGTATGTTAAGGTATTGCTGATATTGAAACCTTATCTCTGTGCATAATTGGAAACAATAACAAAATTTAACAAACGGGAAGAAAGTTTAAGACAGACATAAAAATCGACATAGTGTGCTTCAAATTGTACACTTTAATACAAAAATTAACAAATTAATGACACGATAATTTTTTTTTTAATTACAAGTTCTGTTAGATTGTAAGCAAAAGGACACGATAAAATTGTAAAAAAAAAAAAAAAACTGATCAATAAGACAGCTAAACCAACTGTTCGTTAGATACTAAAATACGTTTTCTTTTGGGACAAAGATATGTCCAAGGATACTTATTTAATCATTACATCAAATAAACAAAGTGTCCTTAAACCACACACAGAAACAAAACAAGTTTCCTTTCGGAGGAACAGCTTCACAAAACTAGCGGTAATTCGTGTAAAATCAAACTTAATTCCGTACGAATAACCAAAGACTAGTTCTGAAACTCCAGAAAAGTTTTCACACCAAAGCATTTATTTATAAACAAT